GTTATACTATAGACACAAACACAATTTAAATAAGTAGTTTATAAAGTTGTATTTCTTTTTGTAAAAGTAAAATAATGTATGGTAGAGTTGTGGTGTAGTTATAACTTTTCTCTTGACAAATGCAAGACATCACGCTTCCTGCAGCAGCAGTTATTAGATGTACTAGTCATTATATTTTGTTGCTGCAGAAGTACAATGAAGATTCTATGTTCAGTAAAGCCTAGAGATAAGGCCTGTGTTTCTATCACAACAATTTATTGAACATAGAATCCTGGGCTACCTGGTGGTGATCCTGAGCTAGACTACATCACAACATGGAGCGTTTACTGAAACCTGAGAGGCTAGACTGTGACCCCCAGCTTATCAGCGGCTGCTCAGGAATGGAAGCACTGGTTTAAGACTTTCGAAAACTTCTTGGGAGCCCTTCCTGAGGAAGATCTAGATAAACTAAGTCTGCTCATCAATTTTGTGTCACCTAAAATATATGAGGCTATTTCTGAGCGTGGCTTAGCGCTTCCTTTTGATTATAATAATAATAATAATAATATTTCTGAGTGTAATACCTATGAAGATGCTATCAAAACCCTCAAGTCTCAGTATATTAAACCTTCAAATGAAATCTTTGCACGCTATCGCCTTGCAACTCGCCGCCAGCAGATTGGTGAATCCTCAGAGGAATACCTTCAAGCACTGAAAATTTTTAGGTAAGGACTCACTTTCAAGCAGTGACAGCTGCTCAGTATTGTGAAGAGTCCATCAGGGATGCTTTTATCAGTGGCCTGCAATCACCAATAATAAGGCAGTGTTTATAGGAGAATAGAACTCTCGACTTAGCCACTGCCTTTGACCAGGCAAGAGCTCTAGATTCAGCCCAGAAGAATTCTGAAGTATACAGTACCACCCAGCCTTCTCGAGTGGTAAGTGCTGCAATTCCTGACCAAGACTTTTGCAAAGAAGTTACTGTGGAACCTGCCTCAGTGACAGCAGTGGCAGGTACAGTGTGTTTCTTTTGTGGTTTTTTCAAAGTCCAAAGTGTCCTGCTCGTGAAGCAATGTGCCATAAATGCCACAAGAAAGGTCACTTTGCTAAAGTATGTCATGCTAGTAAGTAAGTAAGTAAGTAAGTTTATTCAGGTATACACAAATACAGTTACATAGAATTATCATACATAGCAGCATATGTGTATAAGCTAATGCTTATACACATTTCAGTGATCATGTGACTCTAGCAAGAGTGACTTCTGTGGCTACTCCAAATTCACTGTCAAAGGCAGTTGTGAAAGTATTCATCAAAGGAACAGAAGTAGATGGTCTTATTGATAGTGGCAGCTCAGAGAGTTTCATCAATCTTGACTTAGTTAAAGGGCTCTCCTTGACTCTACATCACTCATCAGATACCATTTCCATGGCATCAACATCTCTCTCTATTCAGACCTTAGGGTCTTGTAAGGTAAACCTCAGAGTTAATGGAAAGGATTATCAAGTTATACATTTAGCTATTCTGCCACAACTGTGCTCTGATGTTATCCTTGGTCAGGACTTTCAGAAGCTGCATGGTAGTGTCACCTTAACATATGGAGGTGAACTACCTCCTCTTGTTGTCTGTGGACTTAGCACTTTAAGGGTAGACCCACCAAAGCTGTTTGCAAATCTTACCGCAGATTGCCATCCTATATCAGCTAAGTCACGCCGCTATTCTTATGGGGATCGAATGTTCATTGAGAAAGAAACTCAGAGGCTGCCGAAGGAGGGTATTATAGAATCGAGTAATTCCCCTTGGCGTGCACAGGTTTTTTGTTGTTAAGGATGATTATAGGAAACGGAGACTGGCTATCTGAGACAATCAACAAATTTACACTTCTTGATGGGTACCCTCTACCTCGAATTGATGATACAGTGAACAAAATTGCTCAGTACTATGTGTTTAGCACAACTGATCTACAGAGTGTCTATCATCAAGTCCCCTATAAGGAATGAAGATATACCGTACACAGCGCTTCAGGCTAGTGATGGCCTGTATCAGTTTACCAGAGTCCCTTTTGGAGTCACCAATGTGGTAGCCTGCTTCCAACAAATTATGGATTCACTCATTCAGGAAGAGCAACTCATGGGAACTTATGCGTATTTAGATAATGTTACCATTTGTGGCAAGACCCAGGAGGAACACGATGCAAACCTTGATAAGTTTTTGGAAGCCGCCAAGAAGAAAAATATCAGTTACAATGAAGAAAAGTGCACTTTTTCAACTAAAAGGCTTAGCATCCTTGGTTATGTAGTGGAAGGAGGTTCAATATTCCCAACCCTGAACGACTATGACCTCTATGGGAACTTCCAATGCCTCAAGACAAAAAGTCACTCCGAAGAACTCCTGGTCTCTTTGCTTATTACTCACAATGGATCTACAACTATTCAAGTCTGCCCATTGAGTGCTACCACAATATTTCCTGTGACAAAGGAAGCAGATGCCACTTTTCATACTCTGAAACAGGACATTGAAAACTCAGTAGTTCAAGCCATTGATGAGTCCCTACCATTCGAAGTGGAAACAGATGTATCTGACATCGCCATTGCTGCAGTCTTATCTCAGGCAGGACAACCAGTAGCCTTCTTTTCGAGAACTTTTCAAGAATCAGAGAAGTGTTATGTAGAAAAGGAAGCCCAGGCCATCATAGAAGCATTTCGCCACTGGAGGCATTATTTAACTGGTAAACATCTCACCATAAGGACTGACCAACAGTCCATGATGTATATGTTCGACAAGAAGCACAAAAGTAGGATAAAGAATGACAAGATATTACACTGGAGGACGGAACTGTCGTGTTATGACTTTGATATTCTGTACCGACTGGGTCAAGAGAACATCTCACCTGATGCATTCTCTAGGTCCCACTGTGGAGCAGCATGTCATGATTTGCAATCACTCTCAGTGCTCCACAAGGCTTTGTGTCACCCAGGAGTTATGCTCCTGTACCATTTTGTCAAATCAAAGAACATGCCCTACTCAGTGGAAGATGTGCGACAAGTGATCAGAGCATGCAGAGTATGTGCAGAGTGCAAGCCAAACTTTCATCAGCCAGAGAAGACTCATCTCATAAAATCCACCCAGCCTTTCAAGAGACTGAATATAGATTTCAAAGGACCTCTACCAAGCATGAATCAGAATAGATATTTCTTTAACATAGTAGATGACTATTCAAGATTTCCTTTTGTGTTCCCCTGTGTAAATATGACTGCTTCAACTGTTATTAGTTGTCTTTCACAATTTTTCTCTATTTTTGGTATGCCAGCTTATATCCATTCAGACAGGGGATCCTCGTTCATGAGTAACGAACTTCAGGAGTTTTAGGCTAGCAAAGGTATTGCTTGCAGCAGAACAACAAGCTACAACCCTCAAGGCAATGGTCAAGTGGAGCGGTTCAATGGTACTATATGGAAGGCAGTTACAATGACATTGAAGTTGTGCAATCTACCTGTTCAACACTGGCAAACTGTCCTACCTGATGCTCTATACTCTATTAGATCATTGCTGTGCACAGCTACTAATGCAAGCCCTCATGAAAGACTCAACTATTCACGTCGTTCCTCTATGGGAGCCTCTGTGCCCACTTGGTTATGTCATCCTGGACCCATTCTCCTGAAGAGTCACCGTAGGATGAACAAGACGGATCCTTTAGTGGAAGAGGTAGAGCTCCTGCAAGCTAATCCACATTACGCCACATTCGCTACCAAAATGGTGAAGAGACTACAGTATCTACAAGACATTTAGCCCCAGTTGAAATCCCTGTTAGTGTGGAATCTCAAGATACACCAATAGATGTGAAAGATGCTTCGTTTTCTCCTGGAAAGCCCCTCGAGACTACCCTATGGAAATAGAGGATTCTGCTCCAGCAGTTAGTCAAACCACGCTGGAAAATATTGAACCTGGCGAAGAGGTTCAAGGGCTATGAAGGTCGGGACGTATACGTCGCCCACCTAACAGTTTGGGAGATTACTGTCTCTGATATTTTAGAAGGGGGGAGATTGTAGTTATAACTTTTCTCTTGACATATGCAGCAGCGGTTATTAGATGTACTAGTCATTATATTTTGTTGTTGCAAGTACTATGAAGATTCTAGGTTCAATAAAACCTAGAGATAAGGCCTGTGTTTCTATCACAACATGTGGTAACTAGAGGATTGTGCTTGGCAACAGTCTTTTTGTTTTGGTGGGTGTGGGAGGAGCTTAGCTAGGCTCCTCCCTCTCCCCCACTCTCCTTGTTGGCTTCAAGCTGGTAAGACCTCTGGGTCCTTCTTTTTATTTTTTTGGGCATTATGCATGCCCCAGGGGTGAGTTTTATACCTTAAGTTGTAGCCACCATACTCAGGGTGACTAAAGTGTGTCAAAACACTGGTTAGTCCAGAGATTAATCAAGAAGAAAGAAGGGCAAATTCTTGAGATGCACCATGTGGGCTGTTCCTAGGAGAGCAGCTAGGGAGTGTGTAGACTTGTTTTGTATATTGTATATTCTGTATATATCTATTTAGAATACAGTTCTATATTTTTTTATAATAGTTTAAATAACCTGTGAAGAGGGCTGGTGAAAGGATTTCAGAGACACTGAGGATGATCAATTATGAATGCATTACCCTAGACTGATAAGGCCTTTATGTAAAAAGCTACCCCACACTAGAACATGCAGTGAGAACCTTACTATCAAAGTAATAAGGGACAACAACATAACAAGACAGAGAGAGAAAGACAGACAGACACAGACACAGACACAGACAGACAGACTTGACCAGTGGAAATATAAAAGAGATGTAGATAGTGTACCAGGAAAAGGGTAATCTAATTGTGATGTCACCACACCTCTAGAAAGACAGCATTGAATGAATGATAATAAATGTGTCCCCCTTCTTTGAGTTATCTTGCCTTTGCAGGGGACATCTATTGAGCTAAAAAAAAATATGCCAAGAGTTTATCCAATGCAGTTTAATGAATATACTTCAAAAATTTTGACAGATGGTAGCTGTGGTTATTGACGGAGAACGTGCTACTCAAGAAGACGATAGTAAGTTGATAATGGCCTCCCAGGATCTTTCACCTCAACTAGCTCATGTTACTTCTCAGGAGCAGAAGTTAGCTCACCTAGTATCACTGGTCCCAAACCCAGCTATACCTATTACACTTACAAAGGTTAGTGATATTGTTTCCCAATACAGTGACTACACTGCATTATTTGTGCTTATATAAATTGTATTGTAGTTATTTTAATTAGTTATGAATTTGTTTGACGTTAAGAGCGTTTCAGTGAGCTATAACAATGTTCATTAAGTAGAAAATAAATTCTGTTTGTACCTGTTTAAGTGTTCAAATGATAGCTAGATTAGGAGGAATATGGTGGGAAATGTCTGTGTTAAAAAAAAATAAATACTGTATGTAATTAGGAAAGATTAGACAATGTTTTGGTCCCTTCTGGGCACTTGTCAAGTCACTACTTAGGTAGAAAAGAAAAGAATACCTGGAAGACATATCAGATAGAGAGGTGAGGAGTAAGCCAAAGCCATATTGAGCTATGTGTTCTTTGAATACTGGAATAGTTATCAGTGAACTGTACTGGGAAATCATCATCTGGAAAGAAAAAATAAAGTTCATTGCTATTCTTTAGTTTATTTCTCTTTTATAATGTTTGTGACTTAATAATGATTAGGGATGGCCCATAATGTCTTCTCAAATTTCCTTTCTGTATTGTAGGTTAGTAGTAAACAAGACTTGAGCTCAGGTGAAGAGTGCATTGCTTGCACACTCAACTCTCAAGGAGATGCAAGGATGTTGTACTTTGAAGAGTCATTTAAATTGGGATATCTGCAAATACAGGGATTGAATGAATGAGGGTGAATGTTTTTTTTTCTACTTTGACGGGAGATGATCTTTGTTAAAAATGTTTCTTAATTCAGGACAATAAATTAAAAGACAGTTTGGGGTACCAAGGGTATTATTCAAAGAGCTGATAAAGGGGTTGTCAAAGTGGTTTAGGCATATAGAGAGGCTGGAAAGGGATAGAATGATAAAGAGGGTGTATAAATCTGTGGAAGGCAGAGGAGGTTGGGGTCACCCCAGGAATGGTTAGTCTTGTGTGAGCATGTTTGATAGGAGTGAATGGAGACATATGGTTTTAATGGACATGCTGTTGGAGTGTAAGATAACTTTGATGAAGGGACTCTGGGAGAAACCAGTTAGCTGGATTCAGAGTCCTGAAGGTAGGAAGAGCAGTGCCTGCACTCTTGAAGGTGGGCTGGGTATGTTACAGTAGGAGGGTAATCTGAATCAAGATGTCATTGTACTTCTGGAAAGACAGCAAATGAATGATGGTGGATGTGTTTTCTTTGAGTCGCCCTGCTTTGGTGGGAGACAACTGTTGAGGTAAAAAAAAATTATTCTACTTAGAAAATCAAATGATTGGCAAATGTCTATAGTCATAAGATGTATGAATATTCATGTCTTTACCAAGTTACTCCAGACTGTGTTGTAGAGTGTTTTGTGATTTACAGTGGACCCTCAAGTTTCGAACGTACCGATTATCGAACTTTTCGACTTTTGACTGCTTTTTCGAACCAGTTTTGTTCCGAGTATCGAGCTCTACCTGTCTTTCGAACCACCAGGTACCTGACCTGTCTGCGAGCCCGCTCTGTCCGCATCCCCGCGCAGGCGTCGTGAGCAGTCTGGCTTTGTTGATGCTTGAGTGAACACTAACTTGCATGCTCATTTAAACATTTCACTATTAATTCATTGTGTTTAGTGCTTGTGCGACTGTGAAATAAGCTACCATGGGCCCAAAGAAACTTGCTAGTGGTACCCCTGTGGTAAAGAAAGTTAGAAACACCACAGACATAAAGAAAGAAATAATACAAAAATATGACAGTGGTGTGAGACTTGTTGAGCTTGCCAGGATGTATGGCAAAAACAAGTCAACTATCGCTTCTATCCTGGCAAAGAAAGAACAAATCAAGGAAGCTGATGTTGCAAAAGGTGTTGATATGCTAACCAAAAATGGACCACAGACAGTCGATCAGGTTGAAAAGTTGTTGCTGGTGTGGATCGAGGATAAAGAGATGGCAGGTGATAGTGTTTCCAAGACGATTATTTGTGAAAATGCAAGGAGCTGCATGCCGACCTGGTAAAGAAAACTCCTGGAACCAGTGAAGTTAAGGCGAGCAAAGGCTGGTTTGAAAGATTTAAGAAGCGCAGTGGCATACACAGTGTTGTAAGGCATTCAATGATTAACGACATGTGTGCAAAGTGAAATGAGTTGCAAACTTTTGTTGAAAAGTATCACCCGACCAAGCTGAAACAAGCCATTTCTGCAACAAGTTCAGTGACAGAACCATGTCCCACTTCAGGAAAATGTCAAAGAGGCACCAGATACAGAGGACTGTGGACAGTTATTTTGTGAGACAGGGGTTCAGTAGCATTAAAAGACAGAGAAGGGAAGTAACCCCAGAGAGGGCTTTCATACCTGAAGTCCTTATGGAGGGGGATTTCCCTTCCAAAGACTAACCCCAGTTCCCTCTCTCCTCCTCACTATCTTCCAGATGCCATCACCAATCTTCAATAAAGGTAAGTAATTTTATATGTTTATTTAAATTTATTACTAATTGTACTATGTATGTTTGCTGTGTGTATGTAAAATTACGTATAATGTAATCTCTATAAAATGTATTTTTTTGTGAACATTTTTGGGTTTCTGGAACGGATTAATTGCATTTCTATTATTTCTGATGGGAAATATTGGTTCAACTTGAGAACTAGCTCCTGGAACAGATTAAGTTCGAAACTCGAGGGTCCATTGTACTTAGCTATATCTTTCCAAGACTTATAACTATTTGTATTGCTGTTGCTTACATAAAAGATAGTCCATTGGAACCTCTTCTCAACTACCATTTTCACATATTTGTATTCTTGTGTCTTTATTGGTTAGGTGTTATTTTTCTGACTGATTTTTATGTATCATGATGTATTGTTCACTACAGGATAATCGTATCCACATTTGAGCCAGAATAGAGATGCGTGTTGTAACTCTTGGTCTCGATGGCGCAGGCAAGACATCCATTCTTTTTAAATTGAAGGAAGACGAGTTTGTTTCAACAATACCCACTGTTGGTTTCAATGTTGAAGCTATAGAATATAAAAACTTTAAAAATATTCTAAAATATTCTCCCTCAACTACCTCAAGTCATACCTCAGCAACAGAAGCCAATATGTGTACGCAAATGGAGCAAACTCTTCTGCACAACCAATTACAGTTGGTGTCCCACAGGGAAGTGTCCTTGGCCCTTTTCTCTTTCTCCTATACATAAATGACCTACCAAATGCTTCGCAATTACTCAAACCCACACTATTTGCAGATGACACTACATACGTCTTCTCTCACCCGAGCCCAGTCACGCTAGCCAATACTGTAAATACCGAATTACAGAAAATATCTACCTGGATGAGGACTAACAAACTTACACTAAACATTGACAAAACCTACTTCATTCAGTTTGGTAGCAGAGCTACAGATGTCCCTCTTAACATAATGATAAACGGATCACCTATCACAAAGCTAACAGAGGGAAAATTCTTAGGAATCCACCTTGATAATAGACTCAAATTTCATACACATATACAACAAATTTCTAAAAAATTTCCAAGACTGTAGGCATACTATCGAAGATACGGTACTATGCTCCACAGTCAGCCCTCCTGGCCCTATATCACTCTCTTATTTACCCCTATCTCACCCATGGAATTTGTGCATGGGGCTCAACAACAATTAACCATCTCAGACCACTAATTACCCAACAAAAGGCTGCAGTTAGAATGATAACAAATTCTCACTACAGGCAGCACACTCCACCAATATTCAATACACTAAACCTACTCACCATACAAAACATCCATACTTATTACTGCACCTATTAAATACATAGAACACTTAACTCTGATATTAACCCTCCCCTCAAACATCTCCTTGCCAACCTCAACAGAACACATGACCATAACACAAGGCACAGATCACTCCTTGATGTTCCTCGTGTCCATCTCACACTATGCAAAAACTCAATGCACATAAAAGGCCCTAAAATCTAGGAATTCATTACCTGTAAAATATAAAAGAAACACTACCTGTTTATAAATTCAAGTCTCTTCTCAAAAATCACTTACTCACCCAAAACCAAATAAATACTGAATAACTGAACCTTATAAATTGTATATCTTAAATGTTTCTCACAATTATATCACATAAATGTTAAACCTAAAACCCAATCTAACTTTATTATTTTTTAAATACACTACCTAACAGAATACTCCATACGACTGAATGTACAACAATGCATGCAACCATATGACCTGTCTTTGTAATACTCATTTGTGCTTTATAGTTATCTGTTTACAATAATGTCTTATCACTGATTTCATCATTGCTTAGTTAATCTTAAGTTAATTTTAAGCCAGCCCGTAATGCTATGCATAGTATAAGTGGCTTTGGCATGCTGCTCTTATCTGTATTTTTTTGTACCTCTGTATGTATGCTCAAATTGTAAAATTGTAAATAAATACCGTAGACTGTAATTTAACACGGTAGTTACGTTCTTGAAAACACCGTGTTAGGTAAAACTGTGTTAGATGAACTGAAGAACTTAGGGGAAAAATAGGGTTACGTTCCTGAAAGCCCCAAAAAAGCCAAACTACTTTTTTTAGGCCTCCACATCTTACAAAAATAAAAGTGAAAATGTAATTGTAGTTCATTGTTATGATGTATTATGCTGTTTTTACTGCTTAAGACTACAAATGTAACAGAAATAATAGTATTTCTTACCTTAAATTATGGGTACTGGTGTTTGTGGATGATTGTGAAGAGAGTGAAGAGTTATGCTGTGGCCCTACTGGGCTGAGGTGGATGGTAGAGGTTCTGGTATTGAAGTTGATGGTTGTACTGGAGTGTCTAACTTTAAGTCATTCAATCAAGTGATTCAGTAAATCAGTCAAGTGATTCAGTAAGTCAGTCAAGTGATTCAGTAAGTCATTCAGTTAGTCAGTCAAGTCATTCAGTAAGTCAGTCAAGTGATTCAGTAAGTCAGTCAAGTGATTCAGTAAGTCAGTCAAGTCATTCAGTAAGTCAGTCAGTCACACAAACTTATGTTTACATCTTTTTTATGTGTACAAAGTAACACATCATTATGGCTACAGGTTATGTCTTGTCTAATATCTTTGTTTCCTTCGTTAATTCTAAGACTTAATGCTTACACCTTTTCCTACCACTTTGAGCAACACTGATATGCTTACTGGGTGTCATGATTGCTTGGCAGATACAAGATATAGCAATTAAAAGATCAAAACACAATTCACAATCACAAGCTTGTAGCAGAGAAGTTGGACTGGACACGTATGAAGTACGAATGTTTTGATGGTGGGGTGGTGTCGGGGGGGGGAGGGGGGACGGCGGGAGGTCTCCCCAGCTGAACCACAACAAGGCGGCCGCTTGAGGAAAAGGAAAGTTTTTTCCCTTCCTGTAAACTGAACCATGTTAAATTCATCATACGACTGGTTACATAAAATTGTGCTGCAATTCTTCAATCGTGCTATTCCCAAATCGTGCCAAATAAACTCGTGCTAAATGACGGTCTACTGTACATGAAAGTGTACTGTATTCATAATCTCAACCAGTTTTCTAAATACTAAATGTACAGAATTTATTTCCTATTGATGTTTAGAATTCTGATATGCTCCTTGTATTATTTATTATTATTTTTATTATCACACTGGCCGATTCCCACCAAGGCAGGGTGGCCCGAAAAAGAAAAACTTTCACCATCATTCACTCCATCACTGTCTTGCCAGAAGGGTGCTTTACACTACAGCTTTTAAACTGCAACATTAACACCCCTCCTTCAGAGTGCAGGCACTGTACTTCCCATCTCCAGGACTCAAGTCCGGCCTGCCGGTTTCCCTGAATCCCTTCATAAATGTTACTTTGCTCACACTCCAACAGCACGTCAAGTATTAAAAACCATTTGTCTCCATTCACTCCTATCAAACACGCTCACGCATGCCTGCTGGAAGTCCAAGCCCCTCGCACACAAAACCTCCTTTACCCCTCTCTCCAACCTTTCCTAGGCCGACCCCTACCCCCGCCTTCCTTCCACTACAAAACTGATACACTCTTGAAGTCATTCTGTTTTCGCTCCATTCTCTCTACATGTTCCGAACCACCTCAACAACCCTTCCTCAGCCCTCTGGACAACAGTTTTGGTAATCCCGCACCTCCTCCTAACTTCCAACTACGAATTTCTCTGCATTATATTCACACCACACATTGCCCTCAGACATGACACTCCACTGCCTCCAGCCTTCTCCTCGCTGCAACATTCATCACCCATGCTTCACACCCATATAAGAGCGTTGGTAAAACTATACTCTCATACATTCCCCTCTTTGCCTCCAAGGACGAAGTTCTTTGTCTCCACAGACTCCTAAGTGCACCACTTACTCTTTTTCCCTCATCAATTCTATGATTCACCTCATCTTTCATAGACCCATCCGCTGACACGTCCACTCCCAAATATCTGAATACATTCACCTCCTCCATACTCTCTCCCTCCAATCTGATATTCAATCTTTCATCACCTAATCTTTTTGTTATCCTCATAACCTTACTCTTTCCTGTATTCACCTTTAATTTTCTTCTTTTGCACACCCTACCAAATTCATCCACCAATCTCTGCAACTTCTCTTCAAATCTCCCAAGAGCACAGTGTCATCAGCAAAGAGCAGCTGTGACAACTCCCACTTTGTGTGTGATTCTTTATCTTTTAACTCCACGCCTCTTGCCAAGACCCTCGCCTTTACTTCTCTTACAACCCCATCTATAAATATATTAAACAACCATGGTGACATCACACATCCTTGTCTAAGGCCTACTTTTACTGGGAAAAAATTTCCCTCTTTCCTACATACTCTAACTTGAGCCTCACTATCCTCGTAAAAAACTCTTCACTGCTTTCAGTAACCTACCTCCTACACCATACACTTGCAACATCTGCCACATTGCCCCTCTATCCACCCTGTCATATGCCTTTTTCCAAATCCATAAATGCCACAAAGACCTCTTTAGCCTTATCTAAATACTGTTCACTTATATGTTTCACTGTAAACACCTGGTCCACACACCCCATACCTTTCCTAAAGCCTCCTTGTTCATCTGCTATCCTATTCTCCGTCTTACTCTTAATTCTTTCAATTATAACTCAAACCATACACTTTACCAGGTATACTCAACAGACTTATCCCCCTATAATTTTGCACTCTCTTTTATCCCCTTTGCCTTTATACAAAGGAACTATGCATGCTCTCTGCCAATCCCTAGGTACCTTCCCCTCTTCCATACATTTATTAAATAATTGCACCAACCACTCCAAAACTATATCCCCACCTGCTTTTAAACATTTCTATCTTTTATCCCATCAATCCCGGCTGCCTTACCCCCTTTCATTTTAACCTACTGCCTCACGAACTTCCCCCACACTCACAATTGGCTCTTCCTCACTCCTACAAGATGTTATTCCTCCTTGCCCTATACACGAAATCACAACTTCCCTATCTTCATCAACATTTAACAATTCCTCAAAATATTCCCTCCATCTTCCCAATACCTCTAACTCTCCATTTAATAACTCTCCTCTCCTATTTTTAACTGACAAATCCATTTGTTCTCTAGGCTTTCTTAACTTGTTAATCTCACTCCAAAACTTTTTCTTATTTTCTTATTAACGTTGGTAAAATTACCAACTATGTAAAGTAAAAGGACACAAAGTACAACTATTGTGACATTTTGTGGCAAAAAGAGTGAAACGTTGCCACAATAAAATGTCACATTAGTTGCACTTGTTTCCTTTTACTCAATATGTTCCTTACATATTAGAATACTTGATCAATATTAAGTTCAATTTGATCAATTTAAAGTACGGTGGACCCCCGCATAGCGACTTTAATCCGTGCAAGAGGGCTGATTGTTATGCGAAATGGTCGGTATGCGAATGAATTTTCCCCATAAGAAATAATGGAAATCAAATTAATCCATGCAAGACACCCAAAAGTATGAAAAAAAAATTTTTACCACATGAAATATACATTTTCCTACACACAAAGAGAAGGATACATGCACAATAGTATAGTAGTACATGCACAATATATATTGTGCATGTACTAGTCTACTAAATGAAGAATAAATGACACTTACCTTTATTGAAGATGCAGCAATGACTGATGAGACACTGTGTCCTGGGAGTGCCTTTTCCTCCTGAGTACTGTAGGTCCTGTTTGGTATTTTCTTCCAGAACAGGCCTTATCACACTGTG